ATGGTGCTTCTATAACTCAGAGAACTGGACTTTTGGAGTCCTGACAGTGGCAACAAAAGCCTAAGGAAGAAATTTCCTCATGGCTTTGTTTATGAAGATAAGAGGAAAGTGAGTTGGATTTTATTCCTGTTCAGCACAATGGAGCACAGGGGTTTACACAGGGTCAGGTTGCTCTGATTCATCCCATTGTGGACAGTTGCTTATCTGTGCTGAGATCTGGGGTTTGGAATAGAGCAAGTAGGATAAAATTGCTGATTCATGAGGCCATTCTGAAATAAGTTAAATATGCCCATTAGCATCAGTGATAAAAGGAACATAGGGGTATTGTAGGAATAGAGGGAACATTAAAAGAAGAGTCTATTAGCATTGGAGAGAAATCCAGAGAGGGATGGTTGGTACACAGCAGGTGAAGGGAGGACAGAGACAGGAGGAGAAGGCTTTTAGGCTGAATATTTAGGGAAAAAATACTACCAAAGATGAGAGAGAAGGAAGAAGTGCCCCAGGGCATTACTCTTTTCCCTGCCTGTGAGAGAGGATGCCCTTGGCTGGCTGCCTGCCAGCTGTGTTTGCATCACCAGTGCAAGTGGATTAAGTCAAAAGTGTCCAAATATGCTCCAAAAAAGGACACAAAGCACCTGCAGTGGGGGCTGGACTGCACTGGGTGTCCTGCCCAGTGTCCCTGCGTTGATGATCCCAGCTCTACAACAGGACACCTCCAGCCCCCACTGCAGCATCTTTCTCCATCCTGGAACGAGGATCCAGCCTTACTAAATACCCAAACTGAACATTTTGGTGGGTGTTTAAGGGCCAGGATCCATCCAGAGAATTTTGCAGGTGGCTTGGAAAAGCAAGCTGATATTTTAAAATAGAAGCAAGCTTCCTTAGCTTGGCTAAAGTCCCTGGGAATATATTTCTTTTTGACTCCTCAGTTGCAGCACTTATTTCCTATGACATTACCAGAGCAGTGACACTTCCTGCCAAACTGTTTCAGTTTGAGTCACTCCAAGACACAAACTTTTTGCTGGTTTTAAGAGCAAAATTGCATTTTGGCCTGAGGATGCTTTTTTGGCTTTTCAAAGCAGAAGTTGTGATCAAGTGCTCATGGTTGGGAGGATGAGATCAAGGTGCATTAAGAGCTAATGGATCTTGATTTTTATTTTTATTTTTTTTAAATAGAGAGGAAGATGCATCCTCTGGTTCAAAAGATTCCTGTGCCACAAAGGCACATGATCTCCTGCCATGATCTTGATTCTCCTTTAGGCATCTGGGTAGGGACAGAGGCAGAACCCAAGCACACCTGGTCTGAGCCATTTAATTTCCATTTTAATTTCCACACCTGAGGTGAAACCTCTGTATCTGAGCTGGGAACACTTTTCTGAGTGGATGAGGCCCACGAGTGTTTGTTCTTTCCCTGTAAAAATAAAGATGCAGCTATTAAATGGATGAATGTTGCCTGCAGAAGTCCCCCTGTGCCTGTGCTCTGCCTCTGGCAGAGGGGCCCTGTTTCAGTTGTGTTTATACAATTTAAGTGTCTGTGGTTAACCACAGTAACTCACCCTCTGTGAGTGGTGCAGAAAATACGATTCAAAGGAGGAAATGATGCAAATTTGCCTCTAAAGGGGTGAAGTTAAGGAGTAACTGTGGGTCAGGTGGCTCTTCTGAAATTGCCTCATAGCATGATGGGGAAAGGAAGTGAAACTTGAAGGGACTCTTGTCAGCTACTGAATTTCAACCAATTTAAATTTGAAAGTTTCTCCTTTTTTTTACCATGTTTTTTCTTTGATTGCTGTGAAAAAATGTTTCTTTGCTTATTATAGCTGTGGCAGTGTTTAGGCCATGTTGGCCCTGACCTTGAGGACACAGTTGTATGCATATATCTGTATATGTGGTAAATGGTATTTCGTTTGGCTTCTATTAATCTAGAATGTAACATCTCACTCTCATTTTTATCTCTCTAGAAAATTCCTAACTTCACTTGTTTTTACTGTACATTCTTTAAATTTTCATTACTCTTAATTCTCTCCTTATTAAAACCCATAATGGTGAATAAAAACCAGCCCAACCTTTCACGAAGAAAATTCACATCAGAAAATTCAGTGCTGTTGGAGTCACAGGGTCAATCAGCTAAATGGGTATTAGTAACATAATGACAGAGCATAAGCCAGGCAACGCAGTAGGATTTGCAAATCCATAACAGTAATGCTCCTTTTCTATCTGTTGTTTAATTGATGGCTTAGGGATTCCTGCCCTGGGTCTGGGACAGAGTCACTCCCTGGCCATAAAACACTGGAGTCCTTCTGGAGAACCAGAGGTTCATTTTAAACATGGAAAGCTTAAAACAAAACCCAACCCTCAGACATATTTTTGTTTTTTCTGTCCAGATACCATCACAGCAGGCCTGGGAGGGACTGGGAGAACAAACCCCACTCCCATCACAGTAGCACTGCAGAAAAAAACATGAGAGAAGAGCCAAAGAGACAAAAATAATCAAAATAAAATCAAAAACACAACAAACAAAAAACCAAACCAAACAACAACAACAAAAAAACCCCCCACAACACCCCCTGTCCCCTCCCCCCCATAAAATAAAGAAAAAAAAAGAAAGGAAAGAAAGGGGGAAAAAAGAAATAATATTATAATATATATAAAAGAAACAATATTATATAAATAGATTATAAATGATATATGATTTATAAATTATATATAATTTATATATAAATTATTATTTATATATATATTATTAATTATATAAATATAATTAGTATATATAAATTATTATTTTATTTATATAAATAAAATATATTTAATAATATATCATTTATTTATATAAATATATATATATATTTATAGTATATTCATAAATAATGAGCCCAGCAACCCAGTGCTGAAGTGACAGAAACTGGTGTGTGTGGAGAAGAGTGTAACTTTTTCTTAAAAAAATTATTTTTCATTTCTTCTTTCTCTCTCTTGATTCTGCTGCACTTCTTCTGTACTTTTCTTTCTCCACTCCTGGATTTCTCAGTCCCCTCTGCACTGAGCTCCTTTGGGATCCTCCCTCGAGGGGAGCCCTGCTTATCTCAGTTCTCTGGGTTTGAAGAAAACTCTTGAGCTCGTTAGAATCTTGTTTCTTGTGTTTATTAGAAGGTCATCTCAAAACCTGGCAGGTCTCTCCAGACTGGCTGCACAATTTCAATTCACTGCAATCTGGCTCATTTTCTCCTGATGGTACAGAATGGCCTCACTTGTGGCTCACTTTGGGTTTTGAAGGCACAAAATAGCCCTGAACCACACAATTCTTTTATCTTTATACTCATTCTTACCCAATTAACAATAGACATGTAAATTATTTTTCTTAATGACCCAATGACCCGTCACCTGAGTGCTGCACTGTGACATTTTCTATCCAATCACTCACTACTACCCAAAAACCTCGAGGAGAAGAGCATGAAGAAGAAAGAAGGAAGAGAACCAACACCCTAAATCCTCCATCTTTCCTTCTGCTTTCTAAACTATTTTAAACTTTAACTTTTTCACCCAGTGACTTAAGAAAACTCTAATCTACACACTCACACTTTTAGCATTTTCTATCTAACTTTAACAGTTGTTTTCATGTATCACCATGAAAACCTGCTCATAAATTTCATATTATATGAAATTCAGTGTTTTTCTGGATCTTAGAGTTAAGCATCAGGAACAAGGGCACACACTCTGTGTCTCAGGCTCCAACAAAGAGGAGCAGTGCCTTGCTCTGTCTTGCTGATGGACTGACAAGGAGACACCATCCTGAGAGCAGAGGCTGCTGAGAGGGATATCAGAGGGGGAAAGGCTCACTAAGGGCAGCACAAAAAGCTTTTCCCTTGTTCTGCACTTTTTTTAGGATTTCCACCCTTTTTGTCTGCCAGTTTGGGTGAGCACAGTGTTAATACATAAATATAATGACCCAGCCACTGCTGAAGCCATTGCATGGCCAGAGATGTCATTTTGGACAGCTCCAGTCTGGCCCCTGCTCCTCTGAAACGCTTGGATTTAGGAAAAAACTCAATGTTTCCTGCTGCTCTTGGCATTTTCTTATTATCTATGTGTGCTTAATCCTTCTCTGTGTCATGCTGAGCTTAAGAAAAAGCAATTTAGGGCCTTTATTCCAAGGAAAATCGAGAGTTAGCAGCTTTTGCTAGTCCTTATACCAGGGCATATGTTACATTCAGTGATTAGAAAAGGCAAATGGGAATAACACTGCTGACTTCAACTGTGCAGGATTTGAGGTTGGAGCTCCTGGTCACATCTGAAGTTGTGCCTCTCATTTTGGGGCTGCAGCTGTTGGGGTCTTTTTACAAAGCAGGGACTCCTACAGATGGTCCAAAGCACTTTGGGTTTGGGGTTTTTCCCTGGTTGATGTGTGTGACCTCAGTGCAAAACATCATCCACCATCCACTGAGCCCAGCTGGAGCTTTGCCCCAGAAAAGTAAAGGAAAAATGTACTTTAAATTGATATTTCCAACCTGTTCCTCAGGGGGACTCCAGACCTACTTCCCTGTCCCTGCCTCAGGCCAGGCTGCTTTCCCTGCACTGTATGGCACATAGCCCTGATCTCTTGGTGCTCTTCAGATAATTACACTCATTAACAGACCTAAAGGAGACGTCAGGTTAATTTGGATACAGTAATTAGGCTTTGGTACAGGAGCTGCCGTGGTTTAATCTGTGGGAAACACAAAGGAGTTCCACCAGGGTCAGTGGTGTGAGCAGAAACCCTAAAAACAACCTGCTGCCCTTGGCAGGGTGTGGGAGGGAGTTTGTGCCCTGGTGGAAATAGGGATTTGCAAAAATACAGAGTGCTGCAATTTGGGATTCAGATCCCAGACCCTGGCCACCTTCTTCATAGGGTCCCAATGATAAATAACACAGAGAAGAAAGGTTTTCAGCTCCCCTGAAGCTGCTGAATAGAGCTTAAAGACTAACTGGCAAAAAAGAAAAAAAAAATAAAAAGATAAAATGATGCCAAGGCGTGCCCAGAGGATGATAAACATGTCTGGGACCAGTGCAGAAACAGATAAAGAGGTTTCTGGCAAAATATGTATAAAAGAAGCAACAGATATAAAGTTAGAACAGTTAACTCCCCAATTTTGGTGTCATTTCTGGTGAACCTGCACTGGACAATGGTCTGGTCTCCCCTGAGGCTCCATTATTTCTCCTGATGGCACCAGGACTTTGCTGGATAAAATCACAGATTCCCCCAGAGATCCATTTGGGACACAGGTAGGATCCCATTGTGACATTAAGGCATTCTCTTCAGTTTGGGAATCCTGCCCACATAAGACAACTGAAAATTGGTATTTTGGAATTGGATATTTTAGAATTTAATACCTTGAACTTGGGTTACTTTGGCGTTTTGAAGCTTGATGTTCTGGTGCTTTGAAGCAGAATTATTTTAGTATTTTGGAAGTTGGTATCCTAGTATTTTGAAACTGGGTTACTTTGGTATTTTGGAACTTAGTATTTGAATATTTTAAATATGTGTTACTTTGGTATTTTAGAACTTAGCATTCTGGTATTTTAAAACAGAGATTTTGAAACCTGGTTTTCTAATATTTTGGTGGGACAGCTACCAGCATTTAGATTGTCAATGAAAAAAGGAAGTTTAAGATTTAAGCTGTAAAGTCCTGTGCATAGAGAGCTGCAGGCACAGGTAAGAGAGAAATAAAGACAAGAAAATGTTTGGGAGGAAGGAAAAACTCACCTTTTTCATAGGACAAGTTGCAATTTTCATAGGACAATCCTCAGATGATATTAGAATAAAACTACTGAAAATCCAAGAAATGGATGGTTTTAATACAGGTAAACTACTTGAGGTTGCGTGGGCAGTGTATCAAAATGTGCAAATCCAAACAAATAAAATTAAAGAAAACTAAACAGAAAATGATAATCATAAAAGAAAGCAGCTAAAAATTCTTACCCACAGGGAGGAGTTTTGTAACAGGGGAAGGGGTTCAGTTCCTCCATCTTCATTAGGGAAATTGGGAACTAATCAATACACATATTACAAAAAATAAATAACCCATCAATTTTTGTACCTGCCTAACTCTCCAAAATTGTTATTAAGGGAAAACTTACTGGAAAATTGTGTGCAAAAATCAAGTTTCAGGAAGGAGACATTCAAATTAAAATCCCTGAGTTTAAATACATGTAAAATTCAATTTTTATATTACACTGACTTCCCAATCTGAACCTATCCCAAAGAAAATTAAGGATGCAGTATTCCCCATTGTGTGGGCCAGGGAGATTCCTGGAAAACTGCAAAGAGCAGAACCTGTGAGAATCAAATTAAATGAGACAAAGATTAAATAAATAAAACAAAAAAGCAACATCCTTTAAAATTAAAACATTGAAAAGGCTCATTACCTATCATTAAGAAAATTTTAAGGTACAGGTTGTTGGTGAACTTAAATTTTTCCAGTCAAAAATGTTAATAGCAAAGATTATCAGTTAGCACAAGACTCAAGAGCATTTAATAAAATTGTTAACTAAAAATTTAGTTAAAATTAACCCAAATTTTATTTAAATTTTAAATAAAATTAACCCAAATTAAAATTAACCCAAAAATTGCTAAGTTATCCAAAACACTCATAACCACACTAAAAAACCCAGTAAATATATAAATAAATAATTTTGGAATGGTTTACTGTAATATAATAACGTAATGTAATGTAATAATTACTATATTTAGTAATATAATAATGTAGATTTAAAGGAATTTTGAATTATTGGTTTATGATTGATAATAATTTGGTTATATATACAATTAATATATATTAATATATTAATTATATTAATAGAATATGAATATTATATTAATATAATATACTAATATATGAATATATAAAAACATAATATTATATTAATATAATATACTAATATAATATATGAATATATAAATTCTATATAATTTATATCTATTATATATTATACATTATATATATAACATAATATATATTAAGTATTATAAATAAATATAAATATAAATATAAATACAAATACAAATATATATATAAATATATATATAAATATATAAAATTATTGAATTATTTTAAATTGCCCATAAAGACTTCATTAAATGGCCTGATGGCACTTGGGCTGCTTTCAAACAACTTAAAAAGCACTAATGAGGTCTCCAGCTTTGGGCTTCCTAGATCCTGTGAAATCTTTTGAATTATTCCCTTATGCCAAGGATGGCCCGGCTGTTTGTCACAGGTACAGAACTGCAGAGTCAGGTATTAAACCAGAATATAGCACAACAATTTGTCAGCTAATCAAAGCATTTTATTCCAAATTTCACCCTGGTGGATGGGCAGTCACCTCTGCTGGACAAGCAATAGTTTTTGAGAGAATAAAATAGTGATAGAGGCTATCAAATGTAGTAACTCTCCTGGAGATTGTTGGGAAATTGACTTTACAGAACTTCCATGCAAAGGGAGCTGTAAATAGCTCTTAGTGGATCCCTTTTGTGGATGGCATGAAGCATTTCCCTGTTGCACATGGCAAAAGAAGTGCTGAAAATATTTCTAAATCAAGTATTTCCATGCTTTGGAGCTCCTCTAGGAATGTCATCAGACAGAGGGTCTCGTTTATAGCAGGAAAAGTGGGACAAGTTAGCAAGGCCTTGGGAATGCAGTGGGATTTACACACTCCATGATGGTCACAAGCCAGTGGAAAGGCAGAAAGAATAAATTATACTATTAAACTTAAATTATTATCCCCAACCAGAATAAAATGGAAGAAAAAGAATGAATAACCTTGCAACCGAAGTATGGCTCCAATCTGTAACATGTATCTTAATAATTACTTAATTATAATGAACTTAATATAATTAAATATATATATTATATATATAATGTATAACTTTATATAATTGAATTATATTGAACTTAATATAATTAAATATATATTATATATATAATATATAACAATATAATTGAATTATATTGAACTTAATATAAGTTTATCAAAACCCTTTTTTGCCAAAAACACTGTTAGAGTTTCATGGAGGGATTAGTCATGAAAATCCCTATGAAAATTAAAAGTAGCTAAAATATGAAATGTAACTAATTGCTGGATGTGTTCTCAAGGAATGTTGGTAGGAATGAGGTTCCACAGAACCACTTGGCCTTAAGGAAAAATGTGCTATTATAGGACAAAAATGTTGCACTGACATCAGGGATGAGTTTGAAGCCCAGCAGACAAAAATTGATAGAAAAAGCAGTAGAAGAGTGGCAGAAAGAAGAAAACTCTTTGATGAGCTTGGCGTAACTCATGGCTACCAAATGGCTACAAAATACATTTGTGGCAGTCATTTGGAACCACGGAGTTTTTATTTGTTTGTGCTCAGTGCCAGAGTTGTTGTAACACTTTGTGCTGAAAAATGAGGTGTTGTGACTTGTCTAAAAGGGACAGTCTCAAGAAGAAGGAGGGGTTTGATAAATAACAAAGAGGATAAGGAATTTCAGCTCCCCTAAAGCTGCTGGGAGAGAGCAGTCTTTTTTTTATGTGTTCATTTCAGGTGAGTGTGAGAAGAGGCTGCAACTCCCACATGGTTTGGTGCCAGGATTCCATGCAAGCCACAGCTGCAGAGACCCATGAAGTGCCAGTCAGCTTAAGAAAAGTCTCTAGGATATGAAAAAGGCTTTTTTTTTTTTTTTGGCAATGCCCCTCATAGAATATTTTGCAGTTGGAACAACAAGAGATGGAAAAAGCTTTGAGAATAATTAAAAATTATGATTTCTGACTGACATCACAGAGAAAAATCAAGTATAACATCATGCAAAAACACTTTATATAAAACCAGAAAGATTTGTTTTGAAGCAAAATGGGGATGGGAGGGGGGCTCAGCATCTCAGGGGTGAGGAGACAACACCAGATCTGATTTAATTCCCTGATACAAAACTTCAGTGCTCCAAGGAACTGCCCTGCCCGTGCTAATATAAAATGGTTTTAGTGTTCAGAATTCCCCCTGTTCATCTGAAAACAAGGACTGAATGGATGCTTTATGGTTTTGGCAAGAGGAAGCAGCTTGTGTCTCTGTCATCCCTTTCCCTTGGAGCTCTCTCAGTGAATCCCAGGCTGGATGGGGCTTGGAGCACCCTGGGACAGCGGGAGGTGTCCCTGCCCTTGCAGAGGTGGAACTGGATCACCTTCAAATTCCTTTCCAACTCAAACCATTCCACGGATCCATGGCTCCTCTTATCCAGGCCCACCCCTTGACGCCAGGGACCTGCTGGGAGAGGACACATGGACATGTGTGCCACTTGCAAGCTTCTAAAACTCTGATTGCAATTTGCGATTTGCAAAGTTTGCGCCGCCCGGCCGCGAGCGTTCGTTGTTTTTGTGCAGGCACAAAAAAAAAACAACAAGGCAATCTGCTTCTGGCAAGGCAGAATGGCAAAGGTGGGAGGCTGCTCAGCCAGCTCTCCAAAACAAAGATTTTTAAAGCTTTTTTAGGTCTGTTACCAGTGCTGGAGACAAAGAGTAAACAATGGTCACACTACGTTAGTCTGATTCTACCAAAATCCTGTAAAATGGTTGTTGTGTGTTATGGCACCTTGCACTTGGGTATTTGTGGAAAAGGTTTTAATGGGTTTTAATAGAATGTTGCTCTCCATTGTTTTCTTAGTTCAGGGTTTGGTTTGAACATGTTCTGAACATGTTCTGTAACAGAGAAATATCAGACTTTCAGTCTCCTGTGGGCTGGTGACAGGAACAAACCTCTTGTACATCTCCAGTGTCAACCTCAAAACATCATCTGTCCTGAAAACACAATCCAGGATATTCATGTGCCTCCTCCCAGGCCACTGAAGAATGTGAGAGCAGATGCAGAGCAGATTTTTGTACAATTATATACGTATAATATAACTGCATATGTATAATCTCAATTTTACATATGTATTTAACTGAAGCAGTTGTAAAGTTAATTACAAGATTATTGTGAGCTCTAAATACAAGTAAAAAAAAAAATCAGATCTGTGGAATACCCTATTTAAGGACAAAGTGAATTTAAATATCAGTGCCAGAAGAAATGTGAACTTTTGAAATATTTTCAAAATTCATTACTGAATCATTGCAAAAATGCACTTCAGTGTGGGAGCAATTCCAGTAAACCAAGACTCCAGTTCTACTTGTTTCATGCTTCTGAGAATTCCCACTGAAGTCAATGGGACTCTTCTTGGGGGTAAAATGAGCTGGATTTGGTTCCAGGGACACCTGGCTGGACTTTCAAATGAACTTAAATCCTGCAGTGCAAAACCTTTGATTGCCTGGAAAGGGGAATTTGAGCAAAAGGAAGGCACTAACGTGATTTAGGGGAGTCTGCACAGAACATTCCTGGTCAGAAGGCAGAGATCAAATTTCCATGAAATCTGCAGCTCTGGGCATGGTTAATTTGGTTTGCTGTGTTTTTATTTGGGGAGCCAGATACAATCCTTTGTTAAGAAGGGGAGAAGTGGAAGGGGTGCCCTTTCCCCTGGTAAAAATTGCCCCATCCTAGTGCTCTAAAATAGAAGTAGGAGAGCCTGTGGCTTACTGGAATGAGCAACTCAAGCCTTCAATTCCTCTCACTAGGTTAATTTATGGAGATGTGTAGTATTTTTGGCATTGCAAGGATTTAGGCTTTGCTTTGATAATTTTTCTCTCACTTAAAATTTTTATTAGATTTATAACCAGATGCCCAGCTCATTAATCTCTTACAGGGTTAAATGAGTGAACATTTTTGATATTGTTTGGGTCTTTCTCACTTAAAAAGGGGAGGGGAATAGGACAAGCCCCTTCTCACCTCAGCATGTCCTAGTGAGCCACTCAAACTCTGCACAAGCTGAAACATCCAAAACAGTGTGACCCACTGCTTTTTTGGTTCTTTTCTTTTTTTTTTTATTTCAGAGCAGCTGACCCAACTTCAAAAATGTGACTCATGGCCCCTCCAGCAAAAGGATCAGGAGCAGTTTCTGGGTTGGTACAAGAGCCCCACAGGACACAGAGGTGATGAAGATGAGAGGAACCTGGCTGGGTGTGCCCATTGGACACCTGCTGGCTCTGGGACACAGGCACATATGGAGAAATATGGTATTTAAAAAAAAAAACAAACCCAAAAATCTATCACTGTTATTCCCTACCCTCTGAAATGGATACAGAAATCTGCTCCTTCTCTGCCCTGCTGGGTCTAAACTTGGTTTGTAGGATGCTGGAAATGGGGGGGAGGTTTGAGGCATCACCTGGGTAACCTGGTGTGAGTGGACATGCTTGTGAGGATTAAAGACTTTGGAAATGGTTATTTTAATCACAGAATCAGAGAATTGTTAAGGTTGGAAAAGACCTCCAAGATCATTGAGTCAAACCTTTGACTAAACACCACCTTGTCAACACACTGGCTTGGAGGGCAGATTCAAGTTAAGCCCAAGAGTGAATCTGCCATCAGAACATGGGCACATAAACTATTATTACTTATGATAATGAACAAGCTAGACAAAAAGCAGCTGGGCTTTTAAACCCCAGGTTATTTGTAGAGCTGACAGTTAGAAAAATCTCTTTATTTTTCCCTCCAGCTGTCAAAATTTCTATGAGAGTTACAAGGAGAAAAAAGAAATGAAACTTAGGTTGATATTCATTTTCCTTTCCTTTTTTGTTTTTAAAGAGGTACATTTGAAGACTGAACAAAAAGAAAATGAAAACTGTAAGAAAAGTTTCCTAGGTTATGTTCAATTCTCCAAATCACCCTGATATCAAAAATCTGATTTTTGTTTCCTGAGCTGCTGCTACATTTGCTCACCACAATGTCAGTTCCTAGAGATTGCTTTACCCATCAGATAGATGAGGGCATCCCTAGCATTTCCATGACCTCAAGGCACCCAAGTATCCTGAAAGTGCAGTGTCTGAAGCAAAGGGAAATTGGAAAGAAATCTTTCCTATTTAAGGTGAATGAGTGGACACAAAATTTAAAGTTCAGTGCCTCTTCTTTTGCTATCCTTTATTTTTCCATTCCTCTACCTCATCTGAAGTGAAGCCCACAAAACTCTTCCACCTCCCGTTTATATCTGGCATTAAATCCAGACCCCTTTTGTTGTTGAGTGATCCCCTAATAGGCCCCTTTCCCATTCTGTGTCTACAAGAATGTTTTCCCCTTAACAGAACATCCCAAGGGGGTGTCAGGAGGAGAATTGCATGTGGGTGAGCACCCTCAAGCAGGCAGCTTTCTATTAGACCTGGCTTTAAACCCCAGTGCAGGGAGCTGGGAGCAGAGCACTGAGAGGAACCTGAGATTATTTTTACGGATGTGCTGCTCCTTCTTGTTCCTTCCAGGTGGATTCCAGAAAGTTCAGGCTGTTTGTCTGCCTGCTGGGGCTCAGCAGTGCCAGCCTCTGGGCTCTCTACAGCTGGACGGAGCTCTGCGTGCTGTGTGAGAGCAGCCAGGGTTACATCTTCCCCACGGGGACTTTCAGGAGGGTGGAAGGGAACTTCTCACAGCTCCCAGACATCGACTGCCACAAGAACCCTCCTTTCCTCGTCCTGCTCGTGGCCTCCTCGTTCCAGCAGGTGGATGCCAGGATGGCCATCCGGCACACCTGGGGCAAGGAGAGGACAGTGGCTGGCAAGCGCCTGGTGACGTTTTTCCTCCTGGGGAGCCCCGTGGATCCCAGCCAGCAGGCTGACATTGCTGCTGAGAGCCAGAGGTACAGAGACATCATCCAGAAGAACTTTACAGACACCTATTACAACCTGACCCTGAAGACCATGATGGGGATCGAGTGGATTCACAGGTTTTGTTCCCAGTCCAGCTTTGCGATGAAAACTGACACCGACGTGTTTGTCAATGTTTTTTACCTCACTGAGCTTCTCCTGAGGAAAAAGAAGACTGCTGGATTCTTCACAGGCTTTTTAAAACTGCACGAGTACCCCATCAGGACAAGAGGGAGTAAGTGGTATGTGAGTAGGGAAGAGTACCCAGGAACGACCTATCCACCCTTTTGTTCTGGGACTGGATATGTTTTATCCAGTGATGTAGCCAGCCAGATCTACAACATTTCTGAGAGTGTTCCATTCATTAAACTGGAGGATGTGTTCATAGGACTGTGCCTTGACAAATTAAAAATTGGGCTGGAGGAGCTTCACTCGGAGCAGACGTTTTTCCCAGAAAGGATCAGGTTCTCTGTTCCTCGCTTTAAGAAAATCGTGACGTGCCATGGAATAAAACCATCGGAGCAGCTGAGCTACTGGAACCACTTGGTGGCAGGAGCTCCAGGAGAAGTGCTCTAGCACCTACCCTGCTCCACTTAGCAAAATGAAATTCTCTGCTTCTACAGGGCTGCTCCCCACTCCGGCAAACTCCCAATAACTCCAGCTCCATGGCGTTAAAGACTTTGGAAATGGTTATTTTAATCACAGAATCAGAGAATTGTTAAGGTTGGAAAAGATCTCCAAGATCATTGAGTCAAACCTTTGACTAAACACCACCTTGTCAACTAAACCAGAGCAATGAGTGCCACTTCCAATCATTCCTTGAACCCCTCCCTGGGCCCTTACAGTGCTTTAACCACCCTTCCTGTGAAAAAATTCCCTATTTCTGCCCAAGAACATGCAAACCACCTTCTCTCTCATTCACTCCCACCTTTGTGCATCCCTTCTCTAGACAAGTTACAATTATTATTGAATTTTTTTTCCCCCCCTGAAACATTCAGGCCTGCTAACTCACCCCCCAGATCTTACTGCCAGAGGCCTGGGAACATTTCTGCTGTGCCAAACAAAAACTCAAAGTACTTTTGTTCAGAGAATGAAATCTGCACCATCTTCCTGGTCACCCTTGACAAATTACTGCACCCATCTGTGCAGGCATTTAGGGAATAATATGTGTAGCTGTCAGGATGGAAGCTGCAGCCCTGCCCTTGCAGCCAGCTCTGTGTGGGCTGAGCTGCATCCTGGCACAGATCCCTCCTTCAGTCTACACTAAGTGTTTTTTGCAGAATTTGCCCATGCAATGCTCAGGGGACAGCGTTGGGCACTGCAGGTCACCTGGTGGACAGGTAAAAGCTGCTGCAGCTGTTTCCTTGTGTGTGCTTCCTGCTGAAAATAATCCATGGCGGAGCCAGTGGAGGGTGTCCTGCTCTTCCTATTAAAATAGACCCTGGAGACATCTTTTATATTTGTCTCACTTTGATTGCCTGAGAACCACTCTGAATGGTTTGCCAAGGCTAAACTAGAGTCACTTACAGTGATTTTGATTTTTTTTTCCAAAAAGAAGCTGGGTGTGTGAGGGAGAAGACAGGAGGATTTTTCTCTTTTGAACAAGTGGGAAAATGTGCTCAAGAAATCATTCAGACTGGGGGCCCTATTTCTTATCTCCCAAGCAGAAAGTCATGAAATCTCTGGGATGATTATAAGTTTCAGAGATAAGGAGTGGGATCTTTACAGCAGATGCTGAAAAATCCTTCAGGGCTCTGAGGAAGGAGAAAGAAGTTCAGAAATGCTCCCTTATGCAATGCTCCTGATTTTCCTGCAGGCACAGGCGAGGTGAGTGCTATCAGCATGGAATGCCTGTAATGTCTGTGTGAAGTGTTTTTTCCAAAAAGCAGTGAAAGTGGAGCTGTTCCCAAGGGGAACTGAAGGGGATCTGACACCCGCCATGGTAAAAGCATAGAAGAAAGACAGGGAAATGGATTTTATGATTTTGGTGTTATTTATTTTTATTGTTTCTTTTCTTTTAATTGAAAAAAGAAAAAAGGGTTCTTCTTTCTTTCCTTCTTTTCAAATCCTTCTTGGCAAGGATTTCCCAAGTATCTCGTTTTACTTGCCTGTGTCTGAAGAGCAGGATAAATATTTTCAGCAGGAAAATCCTGTGAATCCTGTTTAATAATGGTCATAAAATATTTGTTTTCCTCTGATGTAGAGTAACCTGAGATCATGCACTTACTTTTGACCACTGATGGTGAAAGAAGCAATGTTTATTTGTTTGTCAGAAGAATAGCCTTCTTCATTTTAAGATGTTTTAACAAACTTTTAACATTTATTTAAAGAATTAAAATGTTTAAATAGCTCAATTTTACTTAAAATTCAGCTATTTTCTGAATACTTTTGCTGCCTTCAGAAGGTGTGAAGGGTCAGACTGACAAAGCCAAGTCAACATCTTTTTAATCACTATTCTTTCCATGTAATATGCAGAAATATCTTGTAATCACTATTCTTTCCATGTAATATGCAGAAATATCTTGTGTCATTCATTGCTCTTGTGCCCAAACTGGTTATTCCTTTAATTTATGGAAAAAAAGGTGAACAGAAAAGAATGTTTCCTGGTCATTCCTAGCTGTCTGTCTTCAGGGGCAGAGGTCTCTGAGTTGGGACAGCATCATCAACCTGATGTTCTCTTCTTGTTCTCAGAGGTAATAATATAGTAATAAATAATAGTAATAGTAATAATAGTAATAGTACTTGAATCCAGCTGCTAAGAGCTCTGTCAGTCACTCCTGCAGACTCCACCTCTGTATTTTTGGGGTTACATTCTAGAGGGAGATGTCCCTGCCCATGGCCAGGGGGTGGGAATGGATGTTCTTTAAGGCAGCCTCCAACCCAAACCCAGCCATGCTGTGCTTCTGTCAAATCCATCTCTGATGTGCCTTTGGGAACAAGGTCCTCAGGCATGAGAAACCATCCTGACACCGTTTCCAGGGAGATGTATTTGTCATTTCAAGTGACCTGTACAAGCTCTCTCTGTTGCTGCCTTCAGAATGTTTTGTCCCCACATCGGTCTCCAATGGCCCGACTGCCCACGGACATTTAATTTGTCACTGCTGAGGAGCAGATGAGTTCAGGTTGAAATGTCAGGGACTGAGGGAGCCTGCTCCTCTCCTCTTTGCAAAGTGGCTTCCCAAGTGATTGCTTTTGGTTGCTGGACAGAATTGTCCTCAACAGAATGATTTTATTTGTGTAAATTAGAAAGTGATTTCTTTAATTTACAGAATCACAGGATTGTTTGAGTTAGAAAAGAACTGTAAGTGCACTGAGTCCAACCATTAACCCCAAAAGGTGTCTCTACACCTTTCTTAACACTTCCAGGGACAGTGATTCCACCACTTCCTTGGGCAGCCTGTTCCCTGTGCTTTACCACCCTTTCTGTGAAGAAATTTTTCATAAATACAATCTAAACCTCCCCTGGGTGCAACTTGGAGCCATTTCCTCTTGTCCTGTTTTTTTCACTTAGGAGAAGAGACCAACCCCACCCTTCTGCCAGAGAGTTGTGGAGTGAAATGAAATCTCCCCCGAGTCTCCTTTTCTCCAGACTATACCCTCCCCTGCTCCCTAGGCTGCTTTGAATAACAATATATTAACTGAATAATTAATTACTTAAAACATAAAGTTACCCTGCTGGAAAATGTGATTTAAGAAAAAGCAGATGATTGCATGTAAGGCAAATCCATTTGTTTAAACAAAACCACTGCGCTGGTGAGTTTATATGTATCAGCTAAATTAAATTAGCTTTTGCAGCTGAGGCCTCAGATCATGAATTTTAAAACAGTCAAAACAGTATTGGTGGCCTTTTGCAAAATTAGATGCATTTTCTTATGAAAGACATCACAAAGCAATCAGAAATATAAGTAGATCTGTAAACACAATACTGCAGTATACATATACTTATTTTTTGAATTTTGTATAGGCTGATAAAAGAATTCAGGCAACTTAGGGGCAGTTTGTCTGCAGAAGTTGAGCACAACCCCAATGTTTTTATGCATTCTGGGTTAGAAGTTTATTAAGTCTTTAAGTTTTTTCTAATAAATGGCTTTGAAAAGGTCAGCTAAAAGTTACTCCACTACTTCTAAGTAAGGGGAGTCCAGAAATTAGCAGAGCTGACAGTGACTTAGAGTTGCTTGCATTTCAACACAACTCTATTTCTTCCAAGATGAGTTTTTGGATGCAGAAAAATTAATAAATTTCTTTTTCATAATCCTAATTCATCAACTAACACTTCTCAGTTTAAATTACAATTTTCAAACCTGTGCACAAAGGATTTAGTCTCACAGTTCCTCTCAGACTCATTGAGGGGGTAAAACCTTCCCAGGCATTTCTGAAACTACAGGATGGATTTTGCAATGGAAGTTTGACCTTATTTCAAAGCGGAAGAGGACAAAAGGGCTCCTGGTGTGTGCTGGATGTGACAGGAATGCCGCTCCTCACGGATCTGTGTGGGTGACAATGAGTGTTTGTATTATTTGCACAGAACATGAGAGTGTTGAGCCAACAGTTCCATGTTTGATATTTTATTAGTAAAGAATTTTGCTACCACAGTTTTCTCTGTGTGTGTGTGTGTTCACTTGCCTTTCCAGTTGTGAATGTATCAGCATTTTGGGGTGTAGTCATGTTAGGGGGATGGTTCATTTAAATCAGTAGGATCACAGAATCATTTAGGTTGGAAATGACATTTAAGGTCATTGAGTCCAACCTTAAACCCAGCACTGCTGAGTCCAGCACTAACCCATGTCCTCAGGTGCCACATCTACACAGCTTTCAAATCCCTCCAGGGATGGGGACTCCAGCACTGCCCTGGGAAGCTGTGCCAGGATTTGACCACTTTTCTGGGAAGAAATTTTCCCAAATATCCAATCTAAACCTCCCCTGGCTCAGCCTGACACCACCCTGTCACTTGTTCCCTGCAAGAAGGGACCACCTCAGTGTCCCTCCTGCCAGGGTCTTGTGCAGAGCCACAAGGGCCCCCTGAGCCTCCTTTGCTCCAGGCTCAGCCCCTTTCCCAGCTCCCTCAGCCCCTCCTGGGGCTCCAGACCCTTCCCAGCTCCGTTCCCTGCCCTGGACACGAGGGCCTTTTCCAGCTTTCCCAGCCCCTCTGCCCAGCCTGGAGCTCCAGGGGGTTGTTGTGACCCAAGAGCAGGACCAGCTCTTGGTCTTGTTAAATCTGAAACTGTTGGATTTTCTCCCCTTCTCCAAAATTACTCAGGAAATAGTGAGGGAATTGAAAGAAACAGATAAACCTAACCACAACTGATACCTTTGGTAAGAACAGGAACCAAACTGAAATTATTTCTCCCCCCTCTGGGTGCCTGAGGATGGCTGTCATGCTCCTTCTGGGACCTGGAAGTACAGGGCTATTCTCTTATCACTTAAAAGAGAAATGTGAAATAACTGATGACTGTCAGATTGGTTTCCAAACACAAGCAGTTATGAACTAAAAACAATAAAGAGAAAAGTTCTCCCTTACAGCCTTTATCTTTTATCTAGCTTACACTTCTGATGTATTTTGCTTGGGGTTTTTTTTACACCTGTACATTAATTCATTAGTTCATGACAGCAATATATTCCCAGAAATATCTACAAATATTGTCACAGGACAGACATAGGCAGCACATAGGAGATCCAGCCTGAAAAAGCAGACTTGAATTTGCACATGTGCAGGCTGAGCAAATAGAGACTTTTTTCAAAGCCTGGTAATAACAGTGCATTTGAGGCTGTTCTTCTAAAGAGTTCACTTAAGTACATTTTCACTGAAAAATGTAATTAGATGATAGCAATAGTTGAGAAATAATGTTTCATATATTCAAAAATGCATTATTTTTGCAGGAAAAAAAAGAAATAAATTCAAGATCCTTCTTAGAACCTCTCCAAGTGAACCGTGTACACACATTCCTTGCATTCAGCTACTGACCTAACCCGACCTCATTTAATTTATGACTTTGGGTGCAGGGACAGAGCCCTGTAATCATCTTCCTGCTCCTCAGGAATCCCAGTTACATTTATGATTACACAATTACACTCCGCAAACTCCCGTGTACAGCTGGAGGCGCAGAACGTCATAAATTAGTGATGTGCTGTGATTTACACCTCCAGCTCCTGGATCTTCCAGGCAGCTCTAAACCCTTCATGTTTAATTTAATTATTACTGCTGAAACAGCAGTTGTAAGTAAATGTTTGACTCGAGTACACAAAGGGACCTGCAGCTTTTACACGTGTTGCTGCTCATAAAGGTTTAACGGGAATTAACGAGAGAGGATCAGAGGGAGCTGAGCTGGGAGCAGGACGTGGTGTGGGAGTGATGTTGCTGGGTCCTGACAGGGTGAGGAGGCGGTGGAACAGCACAGGTGAGGGGCTGTGAGGTACCTCAGCCCATTTTGGGGATGTCAGCCCCTTGCCCTGAGGCCGAACCCTGAAGGTGGGACTCTGGCAGGAGGTTCTCTGAGCACCACCTTCAGCAACTCTGCTGAGGAAGGTGCTGCGTGGGATATGGAAGAGGAAAGGACTGGAGGCTTTATCTTTTAAAATGTCAATCTTTACTGTGTTCCTGAGATCTTTTAGTACTCACCAGTTCCCTCAGCTCCTAGGTGATGCCATTTTGTGTACAAGTGTTTCAAAGGAAATGACCAAACAGAATCATGAAATCAGAGTGGTTGGGTTGCAAGGATCCTTTAAAAGTCATTCAGTCCAACCCCCTCTGCCTTGGGCAGTGACATTTTCATCTCAGCCAGAGCCCTGTCCAGCTTGGCTTTGAAGTTTTCCAAGGATTGGGAATCCATCACCTCTCTGGACAACATTTTGTGGTTTTCCTCACACTCATTGTAAATAATTTCTCGTATCTAGTGTAAACTGACCCTCCTTCAGTTTAGAGCCATTACCCCTTGTCCTATCCTTGTACAAGACCTTGTAAAAAATCCCTCTCCAGCTCTCTTGTAGCTCCTTCAGATAATGAAAAAGTGCAATAAGGTCCCCCTGGAGATTTCTCTGGTCTGAACAGCCCCAACGCTCTCAGCCTGAATATCAAAATAAAATTCACTGCTCCTCTAAAGGAGAAAGCCAAAATACAGCAACAATTCTGCCACACAAAGAGGAATTGAGTATCTGAAACCATCTCTGCCAGAGCTTTACAGTGTCTTACTGCAAAAGGTCAGCTTTCAGCCACAGCCCTGCTATCACAAACACAGAGCAGAGGAGACATCGATTTCCAAAAAAAATCCCATTTCTACTCAGTGATCTTAAGTGAGTGCCCAAAGGGAGAAGAAAGATGTCAGTCACAGGGATGTA